TCACCAGCCTCACTCTCTCCTCTGGAGCCATGTGATTTCAGTGGAAATATATAGATCAGGATGACTGGAAATGGTCCTGCAGTGGGAGACCTTGGTGTTTTGAAGTTAAATCTGTCCCAAGTCTCAGTTTGATTGAGGCAACACTCATTCAGTGATTAAGTCTAGTGTTTAGGTGTGAAATGAAATAAAAGACATGATTGGGGAAATATGTAACTAGAAAAAAGAGGTGGTTGCTCATGTGGTGATAATGAGACATAACAGACAGATAACCCAAGCGGTTTAATAGGAGACCTTCAATGTATTGGTTAGATCCTTAGTGAGGATTTATAACACAATTTGGATGAGTCATACAGGTTGCGAACGTATGAAAGGAGAACCATATGCATAGATAGAAAGAATAAATCATTCTATGTGTTTTAAGCATGCATTATTTAGATCATTTAAAAAGTGACAGCATACACTTTCTTTTTTTTTGTTAAAAATATCCTTGCCACCTGTAGTGGGAAACTCTCCAATGCCCTAAGGAGCTATCTATAGACATCCCTATTACTAATTACTAATGGAACTGGCAAGAGTCTCAGTCTTTAAGACCCAGGATCCTGGATTTATTATAGTTTCTTTAGGACCTGATTTCTTTAAAACTTCTTGATCTGATTCTTTCCAACACTTTAACTTGTGATCACATGCTGAATAATATGTGTGGCTGTGCTAAAATATCACAGATTGAAATGCATTAGCTAACTGTCATCTGTCAAGTCTCAATTAAGAAAACCGGCATAGAGATGGTGGCACCTATAAATGGTAAAAGAAACATGGGTCCAAATTCTGATGGCAAAAGTTTTTTTTTCCAGATGTCTGTTTGTGAGATGAAGGGTATTATAATGATTATTATAATGAATAATGATGGACTTGGAGTCAAGAAGACCCAGGTTCAAATTCTGCCACTGACCCTTATTAGCTGTGTAACCATGGACAAATCAGGTGGCCTCTCCAAGCCTTACTTTCCTCATCTATAACTAAGGGTATTGGACTAGCCTCTGATGTTCCTTTCAACTTAAAATCTATGAAATCTATGTTTCTATAAAAAATCATTTGTTACACAGTCAAGAGGGAGAATTATTTTGATATTTTCCCAGTATTCAAGTTAATCCCTTTTCCTATCCATTCTGTTTACCACCTGCTTCTCTACTCCTACCTCTGGTATCTTTCTTTTTAGTTCAGACTATATACAGAACAGGGCAGCTAGGTGCTATAGTGAATAGAGTGCTAGTCTAAAGTCAGGAAGACTCATATTTCTGTGTTCAAATACAGGTTCAGGAACTTGCTGTGTGACCCTGTGCAAGTCACTTAATCCTGTCACCCTCAGTTTCCTCATCTGCAAAACGAGCTGCAGAAAGAAAAGGTAAATCATTCTAGTATCTTTGCCAAGAAAACCCCAAATAGCATCATGAAAAATAGGAAATGACTGAAAATGACTGAATAACAAATAGACAGAATGTTATGGAATAGTATTATCATTAAATGCCAGATATAAATACCAAATAATTTTTCAAATACATAAAATATAAAATTCATCAAAAGAAAAAGAAAAAAACATATAAAAATACAGAAATTGT